TCTTGTTCAGTTCTTGTTCAGTTCTAGTTCAGTTCTAGTTCAGTTCTAGTTCAGTTCTAGTTCAGTTCTAGTTCAGTTCTAGTTCAGTTCTAGTTCAGTTCTAGTTCAGTTCTAGTTCAGTTCAGTTCTAGTTCAGTTCAGTTCAGTTCTAGTTCAGTTCTAGTTCAGTTCTAGTTCAGTTCTAGTTCAGTTCTAGTTCAGTTCTAGTTCAGTTCTAGTTCAGTTCTAGTTCAGTTCTAGTTCAGTTCTAGTTCAGTTCTAGTTCAGTTCTAGTTCAGTTCTAGTTCAGTTCTAGTTTCAGTTCTAGTTCAGTTCTAGTTCAGTTCTAGTTCAGTTCTATTCAGTTCTAGTTCAGTTCTAGTTCAGTTCGTCAGTTCTCGTTAGTTCTAGTTTCCGTTCTAGTCAGTTCTAGTTCAGTCTAGTTCAGTTCTAGTTTTTAGTTCTAGTCAGTTGGTTCATATCTAGTTCAGTCTAGTTCATCAGTTCTAGTTCAGTTCTAGTTCAGTTCTAGTTCAATTCTAGTTCTAGTTCAGTTCTAGTCAGTTCTAGTTCAGTTCTAGTTCAGTTCTAAGTTCAGTTCTAGTTCAGTTCTAGTTCAGTTCTTTTTTAAGCAAAATAATTATTTTTATACTTTTTGTAAAAAAAATAAAAAGTACGAAATCCCGGAAACCTACTATTTCAGAACAATTCCAATCTTGACCCACCAATCTTAAATTGAACTAAATAAAGCTATTTGTGTTCTTACAAAAGTTCACTGACTTTTCTATATTTGAACTTAACGTTATTGATTTGAAAAGAATAAACAAAATATAAAAAATGGCCCCAAAAATCAACATAACAAATGTAAAATGAAAATATTCCATTCTAAAAAAAACTATGAATAAATATTTGAAAAAATTTTAAATATTTACACTGATAAAAAATGAACATTTTTTAATTTAAATTGAAATTAAAATTGACGAATCGAATAAAAGTCAACAGAAAAACAATAAAAAGAAACAATTTCACATGAAAAATCACAAGAAGAAATGAACAAAAAAACAACCGATAAGAATGTCCGACAAAATCTGAATTAAATGAGAAAAAAATATACAACTACAAAAACATGCCACAATAATTAATAAAAAAAACAACAACAAACGAATTGAAAATATGAAAAAAACAAAACAAATAAAGAGTTGTAATCATTTGTGAAAAATAAATAGAAAAATAAATAAAATTAAAGAACAGCAACAACAACAACAAAATAGTAAACAAATAAAGAAAACAAAAAAATTAAATAAACGTGCATTTATCAGCAGCAACAAAAACAACAACAACAACAAATATAAAATAATAATAATTGTTGTTGTTTGATATTGAAATTACAACAAAACTTAACAATTTACCTGCAGTACTTGAACATTTAGAGTCGGGAGCAGCAGCTGCAACTGCTGCTGCTGGTGTGGCTGCAATAGTTGATGATGGCGTTGTTGATGTTGTGTCGCTGGTTAGTGGAATATTTATTTTTAATTCTTTTGAATTGGTTGTTGTCGTTGCAGTTGTCTTTGATTTTTTACCCGAGTTATTGGTCATTTCTTCTTCTTGTTCTTGTTGCTGCTCCTTATCTTCACCGTTCGTTTTAATCGTATGACCGTTGGTTTCAACTGTTCTTATTTCAGAGTTCAAATCTTGTTGTTGTTGTTGCTGCGTTATTGCATTTAGGGCTGTGCTGGATGGTGATGATCTTGAGTCATTTGTTTGTAGTTGTTGTTGTACACGTTGTGAACGAGTTATATATCTGAAAGTAAGAAGATAAATTGTCTATTAGAAGTATTTTTATGACAAATTATAGTTTAGTAATCTGGTTAAAAGAACTTTTATTTTGTTAACACGAATTTCTTAAAACCGTAGAAATTTGTTGAGGAAAAGTATTAATTGAACAACTACAAAACCTAATTTTAACCTATATTTCTCTTCATACAAGGGTCTTAGATCCCCCACAGTTTTAAAGTTTTCGGTTAAGGTTGCAGTTTCCGAGTTTATCGATTACGAACAAATCGTACTCTTTTATTATATAGATATGACCTATGTATAAGTCGAATTCCAGCAAATGTATAAATATGTAATCTGCCGGACGTTATCCAAACTTTGCTGAAATACTCCTCAGGATATATAGATAGATAGATAGATAGATAGATAGATAGATAGATAGATAGATAGATAGATAGATAGATAGATAGATAGATAGATAGATAGATCGATAGATAGATAGATAGATAGATAGATAGATAGATAGATAGATAGATAGATAGATAGATAGATAGATAGATAGATAGATAGATAGATCGATAGATAAGATAGCTAGATAGATAGATAGATAGATAGATAGATAGATAGATAGATAGATAGATAGATAGATAGATAGATAGATAGATAGATAGATAGATAGATAGATAGATAGATAGATAGATAGATAGATAGATAGATAGATAGATAGATAGATAGATAGATAGATAGATAGCTAGATAGATAGATAGATAGATAGATAGATAGATAGATAGATAGATAGATAGATAGATAGATAGATAGATAGATAGATAGATAGATAGATAGATAGATAGATAGATAGAAGATAGATAGATAGATAGATAGATAGATAGATAGATAAGATAGATAGATAGATAGATAGATAGATAGATAGATAGATCGATAGATAGATAATAGATAGCTAGATAGATCGATAGATAGATAGATAGATAGAGATAGATAGATAGATAGAATAGATAGATAGATAGATAGAGATATAGATAGATAGATAGATAGATAGATAGATAGATAGATAGATAGATAGATAGATAGATAGATAGATAGATAGAGATATAGAGATAGATAGATAGATAGATAGATGATAGATAGATAGATAGATAGATAGATAGATAGATAGATAGATAGATAGATAGATAGATAGATAGATAGATAGATAGATAGATAGATAGATAGATAGATAGATAGATAGATAGATAGATAGATAGATAGATATATAGATAGATAGATAGATAGATAGATAGATAGATAGATAGATAGATAGATATAGATAGATAGATAGATAGATAGATAGTAGATAGATAGATAGATAGATAGATAGATAGAGATAGATAGATAGATAGATAGATAGATAGATAGATAGATAGATAGATAGATAGATAGATAGTAGTAGATAGATAGATAGATAGATAGATAGATAGATAGATAGATAGATAGTGGTGGGACTGCGGATGATAGTCGTAATTTTTCAACTGGTTTTTTGGTAAAATTCTAAATAAAACAAGAGAAACTTCTGAACATTTCTCTTCTGCTTATAAAAAGTTAGACGCATTTAAAGTTGCAACATGTAAAAAGGGCGACATTTTTCAGGGTTTTTCACTCTTTATTTATATATAGCCCCATATGGTCCTTATGGCCTTTATTTGAACACATTTTTAACATAATATCTGGAAAATAAATAAATTTTTAGACCAGATTCGGATTTAGCGGATTCACTACCTTTTAGAAAAGTATATTTTTGTTTCTGGGTTAAATTTTTTGGCCCATGTTATCATAAACATATTATGGAAAGTACTATAAGTTATTAAATTGATCTCCTGAATATTAGACTTTTTTGAGTTAGCACTTTTTGAATATAGTGTCTCAGTATTACTTTAAATAAATCTCAAAGAAGTAGATACTGAAACAATATCTATAATATGAAACAGTTTCTGTTCTTAGATTTTTGTGTTAATTTCAGGCAGACGACCCGGCATTGAGCGATCATTCTGTCATAGACATTTTTTGAGTTAGCACTTTTATACTGAAACAATATCTATAATATGAAACAGTTTCTGTTCTTAGATTTTTGTGTTAATTTCAGGCAGACGACCCGGCATTGAGCGATCATTCTGTCATAGACATTTTTTGAGTTAGTACTTTTATAATATAATTTCTCAGTATTACTTTAAATAACTCCCAACGGAGTTGATATTGAAAAAATATCTCTCATCCAAAACAATTTCCGTTCTGGCTAGCTTTTGTGATTATTTCAGATTATTCTTGCATTATGTGCCGGGCTTTCGACAAAAATTCATAATAAATATTTTAATATCTTTGGGTAATATTCGCTTATTTCTGGTAGGAACTTTTACTCTGAACTGTCTATCAAAGTCTGTGTGTGTGGGGTAATATAATCAAATGGTTGGTTCTGTGACTGAGGGTTTTAAATCCTCGCGTATCTATATGTTCATGATCTTCAACATCTGGATGCAGGCGGAGGTGATCATATGAAGGTTGATGGGAATAAGGTGTTCACAGCTTCTGAAGCACTAGTTCTTACAATGCTTGCTTGTTTTTAATTATTATTTTAGATTTTATTAAACTCATAAAAAATCGTTTTTTTAACAAATGTTTTTTTAATTATTTTTATTATAGGTATTCTTTTAAGCAGGAAGTCAATAACCAAAACTAAACCTGTATGAATTATTTTAACACCCACTGTAAAACAAAATTTACAAACGTATATCACTGTAAATTTTTTTTATGAACCAATTAAAATTTAATACCAATTTCAAGCACATTTACGGTCATTGTGAAACGTTATTTTTAAAAATAATTATTTCTATTTTTTTTTTTTGCAATACATTTCTTTATCTGCAATTTCTAAGGCCATCTTTTAGATATAAACATTTTTCTATTTTACTTATTAAGACATGTGTAAACAAAACAAAACAAATGATTAATTTAATGGGTTTTCTATTCAGTAACTTATTTTCTTTATAATTTTGTGCATAATGACACTTGATTTGATTTTGAGTTTTGTGTAGAATAGTTTTTATTGTGTTTTTTGGTTATTATTATCTCTAAGATATTTTTGATGACGGTTGTTTTATTGTTTATTTTTTGTATATTTTGCAATTATCATAATTTAAACATTAATATTTTAAAAATTATTGTTTGTATATTTATAGACAAGAAAAGAAGACCTTTTC